AATTATATTATATATAAATAATTATTAATAAATAATTATTTCAGTCTTAGACCAGCTTAAGAGTAATAACATAACAATTGCGGTAAAATAGAAATAAAAATAAAAAGTCATAACAAAATAAGGTAAAGACAAAATTATTAAGGTGAAATTACAGAGAACAGGTTTTAAAACCCAAAAGAATCCTATAAAATTACGATGAATTTTACAATGAATTAACTAAATGCTATAAATAAGACACATAACTATAAAAGGACATGAGTAATACTAGAATTTATAAAACATGATGAGAAACTAAAGCTATACTGACTTATATTAAGTCTAATACTTGCTGAAGCCCTGCTAGGCTTTGTTGGAATTAAGACCATTAAGGTCCGGCCAATTATAACAAAGAAATAGCAAAATAAAACATAAGTGGTATGTGTACATTTAAAAGAAGAGGGAAAAGGGGTGGGGAGAAGGAAAGTTGGGGGGAAGGAAGAGAAAATATACTGAGTTATGGAAGTATAGCTAAGGCTCAGCATCACCTCTGAGTGGTTCATAAACCACCTTGGAGTGGTTTATGTTTAATCATAGCTCTGGCACAGAACCTGGCTACATTGTCTGAAATCCCTGCCACCTTGTTAGCTAGCAAGAGACTAAGGTAATCAGCCTCAAGGCCTCCTGGGTATTGTGTTATACGTGGGGAAATATACATTTCTGATAGATTTCTATAAAAAAGGCAGTGCAGTGGCACATGACCCACAGTTTCAATTTCCCCCTCGCCATAAGGACAGAGCTACAGTTCTTTTGGTATCCTTCCTTCCAAGAGGGCGGAGGGGAGGACATTACAGCAAGCAAGAGTAAAATCTCTTCTGCTGTTTTGGGGGACAATATTGTAGAGGTCATGGGCAACCCTTTTTTGTGGGTTCACTGAATTAATATATGGTGGAGCCTGGCTAAGATCATTTTGCAGGGCCATATTTCTGGCATGTTGCTTGAAAGATGCTTTGGCCTGGACCAATCCCGTTGGAATCAATACAGCGGGGGAGAATCCACAATGGCTTATGGTGGCACCAAGTAATTTTTCACCAAGTCTGGAATTTGTCTTGAATAGTCAAAGAAGCCAGGCAACCTGGGTTGAAAATTAGTTTGAGCCAGTAATTAATGTGTGCTATTTGGGCATGAGTTTTAATTGGAACCATTCCAGCTTCAGCCCAAAGGGTTGAGTTAGGAACACAAGGAACCAAAAACAGGTTCTTTAAGAAGCTTGATTGTATAGCTTCTAATGGTTCTAGGTTCTTATATGCACATATTTGGAAGCCGTAGGACAGCTGTGATATCATTTTGGCCTCAAAGCTTTTTAGTCTGCCAGGTATATAAGTACCTCCTATTGTGTGAAAAAATCTTAATATGGCAGCTTCACTTCTTCTGACTTTCTGTTTTAGGGACTGAATTTGGAGCCTCCGTGAGCTGGTGGCATGAAAAACAATTCCAAGTTGAATTGTATTTGAAGCCTGAGCTTGTTCAATATCATTCACATTTATTTGCCATCTGTGATTGCATCTACAGTAGGCTTCTCTGAAAAGATCATATTTTTTGTTTTTTCATAATTAATAATTAAATCGTTGTCTATGAAGGAGGAGGCAATTGATTTTAAGGCTCTCCTCAAAACGATGGGTGAAGTAGAAATTATGGCTCCATTGTCTTCATACAAAAAAAGAGTGATAGGTCTACCAGCCAAGTTGGGAGGATGATGTTCTAATTTTGTGAGTCTTGCCACCATATCATTAATATAGAAATTAAACAATAAGGGGACTAGAATACAACCTTGCTTTACACCCTTATAAGTAGGCACCATTGCAAGAATGGTCTCCTCTTCCAACTAGTACATTAATTCCCAGTAAAGATTCTCATGTGGAAGCATCTATAACGCAATGATATAAAATATGACTGAATCTGAAGTAAGAAACTTTAACAGACAAATCAAAGGTAACATTATGTATTATTCTGCATTTTATTTCTGTGCTCACATCAAATGCTTATTGTTGTAAACCCTGAAGTACCAGAACTATGATGTGACCTGTCCAAGCTGCTCCAGAGTTGCCTGATCAACTAGGATGCCCCAGTTGACTGAGTCCCTCTTTCTCTGGAGTTGGTCTTCTCTAGACCCATTCACAATCTGGAATCATGAAGAGAGCTATTCACATAATATTCAAGTGAATATAAACACAGTTCTCCTTCAGACTTCCCTCTGTACATGTGAAGATTGGAGAAAGGTAGAAGCAGGGCTGTGTCCATTCTCCCCCCCCCCTTTGAGTTCTCCAAGAATAAAAAAAAAATGCTAAATAGGTCCTCCATGGTAATGTCTTCTCTCTCTTTTTATTAAAAGGGATAAGCTTTCATGAGCTGCAGCTCACTTCATCAGATGCATTACGTAGGTGGACTGATGCAGGATTTAAATTTGGGTGAGGCAGGGGAGGGGGAAAGGAAGAAAGGAAAGATTGTTTTATGCAAACACAGGTTACATGAGAGACAGAGTAATTAATAAAGTGTTGATGCAAAGGATACGTAACAAGAGGTTGCACAAGGTTGCATCTATGAAGGAATCAGGGGAAACACAACCTTCAGACATGGGGTACAGTAAACAAGAGGTAGAGATCAGAAAAAAAGATAAACTATTATTGCAGAAAAAGGGTGAAATTAAATACCTCTGGGCAGGAGGAAGATTGACATGTAGGGGTTAGAAGTAGGATAGAAAACAAAAGCAAGAATGAGAAAAGACTAGGATATAAGGTATAAAAGTAGTAGGGAGCTAGGTGGGCAAAGTGGGGTGGAGCACAGAAGAGATGTTTGGCCAAGAAGGAAAAATGAGCCACAGCAAGGAAAAAAAAGGAACAAATGGGTACCTTAAAACAAACAATTTAAAAAGAAACAGAATAAAAGGTGAAAACACAACAGGGCCTTCCCTTCCTGCAGCAGGAAAACTTGAAGAGAGGAAACTGAGGGTTTTATTTTTGAGCTTTCTACTCAACAGATTCCCCTTTCTCCAGCAAACAGTGTGCCCAGGGATGGGACTGGTCACCTGCTTTAGAGGCAAGGCCTTAATTTCTAATAGCTATAACATTTACTCAACATGATAGTTAAAGGTTTCTTTCTGTTTTAATCACTCGTGTTTCCACACTGCTGTTGGAATAATATTAATAGAAAATCTGTTACTGTGTATAGCCATGAAATGGCTATTATTTTTATTTGGATTTCCCTGGGAGAGGGAGGGAAGAGTATCATTGAAGTCTCCCCTCTGGATGGAGGTGTGGCGCTAGGGTGTTTAAAGGAAAGTATGTAAGAACCAGGGGAGATTCTATGTAGGATTCACATGGAAACCAGTTCTCCAATTCAAGATTAGCCTCTGATTTAGATTGAGGCTACAACTGGGTCAAATGGATAATCTTGTGAGCTTCTGAAAGAGAGTTAAAGCCCTTCCCTTCTGAAAAGTTTTATATATTGTAAAGCATGTGCTGAATATGTTTCTACTGTCATGTCCGAAGAAACAAGAAAGACACAAGGAAACTTTAAGTAACATTTTGTGGATGTATTCATTCAAAATGTACCACCAGAGAAACTTAAAAAGTCGAATAAAAACAATATTAAGTACTGTAGGTATCAGTTTGACAGTATGATCAGTGAAGAGGATAATCTATGCACATATAACAATTCAGAAGTAAAAATAAAAATATTCTAAAGGGAATTATGGTTTAGCTTGGTATTTATGTCTAAAAGGAAGATGATACTTCAGAAACTAGTAGATCACATAGATCTGCTTGCATTATTTTATTATATATATATATTTGAAATACAACAGGGAAATATCTCAGGGTGTATGATTAGGAGACTGATAAAATGCTCTGCATTTTTCCAGAGCTTCCTATACTCTTTAAAGGACTCAGTGGTGTGTTAGATGGGATACTGCTTGCACAATATTCATTATAGTTGACTGACAGGCTATGTTTGGTTTGAAAGAATCTTTAGAGATGTGTATAGTAAGGGATAACGTTAAGTATTCAACAGTCCTTAATTCAGCAGGTCAGTTCAGATCCAGTGTAATACTGATTATTTCCTGCAAATTGGCAACCTTCAGATTAATTAGTAATAATATAAACTGATGTGTTTTGAACTTCTTACCCAGATCTTCTTCCAGATCATCTGTTGTCTCCTCTTCTTCATGTGGGACTGGGAATTTAAGGCTCCGGACTAGCCCCATATTGTCTTTCTTGTAAAACTCTATCAGTTCATCTAAGTTGTTGAAATATTGCACTGGAACACCTTCACATGCCTAAAGGAGAGAGAGAGGGAGAGAGAGAGCAGTATCAAATATTGCTGGAGATTTTCCACCAAATTAACAGGCATGTTTGAAGCAGTTAATAATACTGAGAAAGCACAGCAAACACAATTCTCAACACTTTTTAATGCACCTTTTTCCATCTTTTCTGTTAAAGCCTTTGCCATTATCCTTTACTCCCATATCCTATAACAACTTAAGCCGAAGCATGAATTCTTATTAAGCACTACCTTTGTGTCCTAAAACCCATTCTTCTTTTTCTCCCCTGCTTGCCCTCTGCCTACATTTCCCTTTCTTCTTCTGTAGTCGCCTTTGTATTTATTTGTAGATTGATCCCAGAAACAGCTTTTAACAATGGGTAACTAATTTGGTTTAATTTATTAATGATAGATGTTATTTTAATGTACATATGCTATACCAGTAAGGTGAAACAATGGCTGGTTTTACTTCTCTTTTCATCCAGACCAGTGTCAGATACCACACTAAAAACCACAGAAGCAGAACATGCTCAGTTCCAATCTGGAAAAAAACCCCACACACAACCCCTCTGCCTTTTAGTAGTGGATGGCAATAACACAAGAGTATCTTATAGTTACCTATAACCTGTAGCAAGTTCACAGGCACATCTAGACTATACCTGTGCTTCAAGTGCCTCACCACTAAGCTATGGGCTTACCCCAGAACAGACTCTCTTGCTCATCTTTCCACCCAGACATAACAATAAACTGTCAAGACACAACATGGCAGTATCAGCTGATCCAGGTTCTTTAATTTCTAACTCTACCAGTTCCATTTTCTACTATAAAGTATTAGATGGGTTTTTACAAAATATAAACACATTGTAGGATGGAAACTATACCATGACTGAAGGCAGCAATCAATGTCAAAGTTTTAAAAGACTTTAGTTCTTTGCTTCATCAACACAAAATTCAGCATTCTCTCTTCTTCCCACCTCCCCGTCTTAGCTTCAGGACTTCAAGCCAGCTGCCTTTTCCTGGCCATTTAAAGAAAGGAAAGGTGTGTGTTCTGTGTTCTTTCTAAACTGGAGAATAACACAACATTGTTCTTTTCTGACATAAGAGTCAGTCAATCTTTTTTGCACCAGGGGCTGCATCTTGATCTATTTGGCTGTTAAGGGCCTCAGGAGATGACATGGGATGAACCTGGAGGGAACAGGAATGAATGTTTAGCTTTTCCCCCCATGTTTTATGGGGTTGAGGATTTTTAAAAATAAGATGGACAAGAGATGCTTAACAAGTTCATTTTACTGCATTTTAATAAAAAGTGGAAATTTGCACTGCCACAATTTGGCAGTGTGCTCTTTGAGTATTGTAGGATGCAAAAAAGATGCTGGGACGCATCAGGAGGAAGGGCTGCAAGTTGTGAGTTGCTCCCCTCTGGCCTAGATCAGGTAAAGCATCTTGTCTACCTCTTTTGACTTTAAGTGGTTGGGAATGGCAGCTGAACCTGTTACCTTGCCTTGGTGTTCTAGGAAGAGCAAGCCGTGCACAGTGACAGTTTTCCATTTTAGCTGAACTTCCATTTATATCTGCAAGCACAGCCATTTAAAGGTTCACTTTCCCCCCATTCTCCCTTCCTCTATCTTTTTATTTTCCTTTTATGAATACTAACTGCTTCAGTTCTTTATAGTTATGATTCAGTTAGAAGCAACTTCCTCATTTTTTCTTCACTTTTTTAAAGATATAAAATGATCCTAGATAATGGAGACTGATAATAAAAGACATCTCTAGCTTTTGGAACCTAGAGATGGACAAATTAACCAATAAAAGTTTCACTCAGATGTATTATTTATTTGATGATTTATTTCACACATTTTGTATAACTTGTCAATCTATATGACTTCTAATTTTTTTCAAACTTTCACTGTCGAGCTTCCCATGGACCATTACTTGAACTCAAAGGCTAGCAGGCAAATATTCCAAATCACAGCTCCTTGGTGATGGACACTTTTTAAAATGAAATAAAACTTCCTCAAGTTTCTTATGTTTATTCAAAGGATTTAGCCCCACCCCTAATGTTGCAAGAGTTATTTGGCACAACTGAATGGATGGAATCTGTGAACAGTTCTGAACTAGATGGCTTTCCCATGGAATGGTATACAAACATAAAAAGAGCTTGGCTCCTCCACTGTTAGAGATATGAGGGGTTTTTTTCTTTCTTTCAAAAAAGGGCCCTTCCTTTAGCATTCTATAAGGCTTATGTAATGGTTATTTTGAAAATAGGAAAGGACAATACAAATTATCGCCCAATATCTTTGCTAAATATTTAAATATAAACTGCTGCCATTGTGCAACTTTGGCAGTATACAGAAACAGAAAATATTCATCATACAGTTAAATATGTAAAAATATAGCTGCAACAATTCTGAATGCAACTTTGGCACTAAGAGCACATTAAGTATTACCATCAATAATCTACCCTGAACAATCTGCTTTTATGAAAGACTATCAAGCTTCTGGTAATCTCAGATGATAGATAGATTTTGGCAATATACTCTGAAAATGAAGAAACGTCTGTAGTGGCTTCACTGGATGCAGATATGGTACAAATTAAATTTTCGGAATAATTTATGAAAAAATGGAAAATATTCTTCGTGGGAGATCTGAATATTTTAGATTGTAAAATGTAGATACAGTAATGGTGACATTTAATTGATGGTTGAAAATGTCTATAGGGCTATGGGAAAGAATAAGGTCTATGAAAATGAATATCTCCTCATAACTGATATGTATTCTAAGAAGGATGTCTGTGTTAATTCTACCTAGTTATTATAAACTAACTGTTAAATTAAAGACTAAATGTGTATGAAATGGTCAAACTCCAAGGCTCTCCCGTTCAAATGTATAGTTTTCTTATGAAAACAGAGTTTTTAATTTTCCTTATGTTCAATTATATCATTGGTCTGTCTTTCCTTCCTTCCTTCCTTCCTTCCTTCCTTCCTTCCTTCCTTCCTTCCTTCCTTCCTTCCTTC